TTATTAGTTGATATTGTTTATTTAAAATATTAGTGTTGATTTTTATTTTATTGATTGATAATACTAATACCAAAAATGTGTAGTTATTTTTTTTAATGTGACGTTTTTTCATTATTATTCCCTGCTTTGAGGCTGCAGTTATAAATTATTTTTTATAAATCGGAATTTTTGCCTATATTTAATGTATAAAAAATGCGAATTTTACTCGAAATCCATAAACGATATCGAAATTTTGTAAGAGCAAAAAAATCTTCTAAAATAGTGCTTATTTTAAAAAATATAAATTCTGTCGTCATTGGCATACACACAAAAAAGTTACGGGATAGCCAGTGGCGCACAGGCACTAGAAATAGAACATCCTGCGAGGGGTAAACCACTTAGTAAATATGGTGTACAAGTGATGTAAATATCGTAAATATTTGTAAATATTCGTAAATATTAGTAAATATTTGTAAATATTAGTAAATATTCGTAAATATTAGAAAATGTTAAGTAGTAATTTGAAAATTTTAATAAATATTCGTCAATTTTCGGGTAAATATTGATAAATAATGGTAAAATTCGTAAATATTTATTCGTTCCGCATACTTTCCTATCCAAATCTGGAAAATTGTTGGTAAAAAAAAAACAAATTGCATATTTTTGGCAAATAAATGTTTCAAAAAATACACAAATCACAAGTCGAATAAAATAGCAATTAAAATGTTAAACATTCCCAACATTTTTCATTTCGCAATATGTAAGTATAAACAAAATTACTAAATAAGTAGTCCTCAAAATACTCTGTTCAATACTATTGCCAGCAATTCATGTTTAAAATAATTTAGTGAAAGAAAGAAACAGAAAAATGGACCGAGAAAATTTTGCTAACCACTATTATATAGTTTGTAATAAGAATATTTTAATAATTGATAGGTAGGTACGTTGAAAACTATTATTCTTTGCTTCTTTCCAAATTTTTTATTTACAGTTTTCCATAAGGGAGGTAAAGAGTGTCGGATGTTGTTCAGTATTAAAAATCCGAGTAAAAATCATTACTGTTTAGACGATTTCTCTTATTTTAAACAAAAACTTCGTAATTTATTTTCTACATCCGAGTAACATCAGTTATGATTCCACGGCAAATTTGTTTTTTATTTCAGGGTTCCGATTAAAGTAAGGTTAAAAATCACTCGACAAAAAAGTACCTACAGCACGAATTTCACATTTACTAAATATTTTCTACATTTACTTACTAAATGTTTTCTACATTTACTTACTAAATATTTACCAATCCACTAAATATTTACCAATCCAATATTTAGGAATAATTACCACTATTTAGGTAGGTACATAATTCCATTTCAATACGGCAAGCGGACTATTGCGATGCGATCCTAGTACTACTATAACCTCGACTATAACAACATAGTGAATCGAAATTACATTTTGGAATAAACGTAAATCCGAGTATACCTAAACTACGGTAATAAATGTACCTGGATTGCACTCATAACCATAAACTTTATAAGAAAAGATCACGTTTCATAGAGATAGTATTTCGTAGAAGAAAAAAATACCAAATATTTGTTGTTAAATTTAAGATGAACAAAAAATATATCACTTCAAATATTAATGATAAGATTGATAAGTACTGAGATGTACACATGACATCTTTCTTTTAATGAAGAAAATTGCCAATACCGAAGTAATAAAATAATTTCTTATTAGATTATTAATATTTTTCGACTATGCCAATATGCTTACTAGTCGACCCGCGAAAGGGCTTGCGCATGAGCCGTGCCGAGGTGGCGAGTTAAGTACTATATATAATGAATCCAAAAGTCCAGCTTCAAATAGGAAACTGCGTGGCCTCTAAAGAACATTTAAAGCAAGTAATATTTAAGTTTTCAAAGGATAAACATTTTTTAACTATGAATGAAATAGATAACGAAGATAAAATGAACTTTAAAATTGTCGAAAAAAATTGTAATAGCCAGGTCAGCTCTCTTCTTTCAAGTAGTATACCAGAAAGTTTAGGAACTGTGATATATCTAAAACTTACCAGATATATTCTGCGATCATTTTTAGACAAAGATGTACCGATAAAAGAAAGAGTTCACCTAATGTGGTATTCAATATATGTATTACGGATTTGGAGACATTGGCTAAAAAATTCGAAACAATACTCCATGACAAAAAATTTTATAACACTAAATTCTTACATGTGCATTGAAATCAATGGTAAAGGGCTTTTGAATTTAATTAAAAAGTACCGAAACAATGCAAACTTAACGAATAATTTGGATTTTGCTATATGGTTATTTAGTTCACAAGCATGTGAACAGTTATTCAGAGCAACACGGTCTATGACTTCGACTTTTTCGACAATTGTAAATTTTAATTTACAACAAATAATTAACCGAATTGGTAAAATTGAAACAATAACGGATATTATCAACCAGTTAAATAACACATATATTTTTCCAAGAGAACAACATAGGAAGCAAGGGTCTTTACATCAAAACTTAAATAAAAATATCTTTTATAGTGATACAGATATAAATAATATTTGCCAAGTAGCTCTACAGGAAGCCAAGCACGACTGTTTATCACTGGGAATAAAATATAAAGAACCAGAATGGTTTGAAATGTGTATTATTGAAAAAGAGGTTACTGTATCTCATGTAGAACAGTATGAAAATCAAGATGAGGATATTATTCATAACTGTTTATTAGAAAACGTACCAAATCAAGAAAATAATGTTTCTAATGCGTTAAATCAGCTAACATCAACTGATGAAGGTCGAAATGAATTTGAATCAGAAACGGATTATGAAGGCACAAATCTTGCTGAAAATGAAAGGTGTGTGGAACATATTGTTAATACTGACTGACAATTTAAATTTGAAGAATTATCATACCAAAAATGTAGGAGAAAATCTGGATGAAAGCAGCATTTATCTTAAAATTAAAGTACAAGATAAAACCATGACTATAAGGAAATCTACGCTATGTTGGCTGCTTGATGAAAAAACAAAAAGGTAAAAAAAAATCGATTGTAATATATTTTACTTCAAGTTTTATTTAGATCCTATATTTATTTAAAATTTGTGGGATCAGTTCAGACCGACTGGAAAGATTTAGAAATCAGAAAAAACCTAAAAATGAAGATAGTTGTATTCAAGTTTCACCTGATCAATATTATGTCGTTTATTATTCAGATCAATGGTATATTGGTCGTGTAATTTCATCAACAACTGAATTTGTGGTCATAAAATTTTTACAGTCATCACTAAATGAATTTTACTGACCAAAACATGACGACATACAAAATGTCAAATCTGAATATATTTTTTTTGGACGTATACAAATGCTAGGGTCGGGAAGAATGACTATTAGTGAAAGTGATCGGGCCAAAATAGTAAAATCTTACAAAATGTTAAAACGCCGAGTATGATTTATGGTTATGAAATGAATGAAAGTTATATGTATTTTAAATAGTGTCTTTATTTTCTAATTATTAATCTGTCTCTATAATAAATCACGAGGGGCAATCAGTAAATGTTCATAAATATTCGTAATTATTTGTAAATATTCGTAAATATTAGTAAATGCTAGTAAATATTAGTAAATATTTGTAAATATTCATAAATATTAGTAAATATTCATAAATATTAGTAAATATTCATAAATATTAGTAAATATTAGTAAATACTAGTAAATACTAGTAAATATTTGTAAATATTCGTAAATATTTATAAATAATGGTAAATATTTGTAAATGTTAAATGTGGTGTACACATTTTCGTCAAGTGGTTTACCCCTCGACATTATGTATATGTATTCTCTCCAAATTCTATATTTACCTTGCTCTTATATAAAAAAATAAGTACCAAATTTGAAGTTTCTAAGAAAAATAGTTTCCAAATTATTTGAAAAAAATAGGTTATCTATTCTATATTTAGAATGCTATATCTCAGTAGGCGTGCACTTTTGTTTATAGGTAAGTTAGGCTAAACAGTCTTATTTTCATAGGAACCTGTGGTTTTACATCCTTTTCAGGGACACCCTGTACATATTGAAATTGGAATCGTATGGTATCTCCCCGCTCTTTTATCTTCGTTTAAATCTTATTTTAGTAACAGATACCAGTTCGTACAAAATCGTGGCTTTCAGTAATGTAAATTCCATTAATATTCAGGTGCCCCGCAAGGTTCAGTCCTGGGGCCACTGTTGTGCGCTATTTTTATTAATGATCTAACCGACCTCAAGCAGTTCTTGGTAGTTAAATATTCTACTGACTGTATTAGACTACAAGATAATCTTGACAGCTGATATAGTTGATGTTCAAATAATAAACCATCTCTGAATGTAAGCAAATGTGAAATGATGTCCTACAGTCGATGCAAAGCTACTCTATATTTTGATTATGAAATTGGGGAATCTTTTCTAAACAGAGTTACGCAATTTACTGACCTTGTTGGTACATTTGATGATGATTATGGACACTAAGTCTGTTTCTAAAAATTTAATCTTCATTTCGCGCAATTTTAAAGATTCTAAATATATTGTATGTAGCACATGTGTTTTGCAAATTAGAATATGCATTGTTTGGAGTTCCATTTATAATGCTTATAATACTGAATTAGAGAAAGTACAACGGAGATATTCAAAGACCATTCATTTTATTAGTTGTGGTATCAGCAGTTTGCAGGCAACGCTTTAACGCTTTAGCGATCTTGATTGTTACCTCATTTTTGTGCACGACAACCGGAAATCAGACATCGACGAGGTGCGCCTTAAATCCTTCCAAAAAATCGGAAACACCTCCATTGTACATCTAATGGAACTAAAAGTGAAATCGACGCGCGGAAGAAGACCACCGTGTCAAGCTGGCCCCCTCGAACTGTACAGTTACAGCGATCGATGATTATCCCACGAACTGGTTTCTTTCCGACCGCCTCGAGAGCTCCTAACGCGTCCTCTGTGTCGGCGTAGGTGATGGAGAATCGCCACTTTTTAGTGCTGTTTTGGTCTGCCTTGGAAGAAGATCCAAGAATAAGTTCTACCTGAACACCGGTGCCTGAGTCGCTGTCGTTTACAATTGAACGGTGTCTTCGATCGATATGTGTGTCAATGTGGTTCTTCTACTGGGTCTGCTGCAGGTCAGTGGTACGATATTTATCGGTTATTTGACATGCAGGTGGTGTGAAGCCGTCGCATCCGTGAGAAACGTTGGTTTACCGCGAAAATGAGGCACGGTTTTTTTAATTCGATGAGATCCGTTTTGTTTTTTACACGACTCGTCTTGTTTTGCGATTAAAAAGCAAGCCCCGTAAAGAAAAAAGATTGTAAGGTCTGTTTTGCAAGTGTAGTCATACCACGTTTAAAAAAATAAGGTAGTAACACCGATAATCTTTTAGTAAATGAAATATAACAAAACCGCAATTTGAAATTTCAAATAAATGTAATACTTATTCTATTTTAACATCCTATGTCTCTAACATGAAACGTTTGCAGAATCTTAAGCATCAAATTAGATGCATTCAAGATTAAACTTTGACAAAAAAATTCTTTGGTGTTTCACCTAGATTTAAAAAAAAATCCAGTTTGCGAAGTTATAAGCAGTTTCATTTTCGAATCATCGGCATTTCCTTTTTGTCAATATCGTTTGCATAAATATTTTATAAATTCAGGTTATTTTAAAACTTTTTTAGTAAAAGTAAATGAAAGATATTACAATTTGGCCAACAAATTCCCATGTTTTTTTTTAATGTTATTATTATTTTGACTGAATTATATTAAAATTGTGATATTCTCCAATCATTTTCTGAACTCCACAAAGCATTATTTAATTTCTATTACAGGGTAAATCAAATTTTTGAAGCGTTGGTGGTGATCAATAAAATAAATTACACGAAATCATGAAAACCAATGGATATACGAAAATCTTATAAAGAGGTAAAACTTTGTGATAAAACAAGAACTGAAATCGTGAGCATACCTGCAAAAAAATGTGAGCATATTGGGTGGAGGGTATTTATCATATTTTCGCAAATGTCATTACTTCAGTCACTATGTCAAAAAGTGACATCTATGTTTCATGTACATCAAATATAGCGACCAAAACCCTCCAAAACGCAGCAAGTATGTTTAAAAGTAATTTTAAATGTTCGAGGGCAAAACCGCAAGAGCAATTTGGGCGCACATCCCGCCACGTTATGACGTCACATGGTGATGAAACAGCGATTTGTGGATATTACCGCGCAGAACTGACGAACAGTGCCTTGAATAATGCCAACTAACCTATGTTTATAGCTTTGTTTTTGTCTCGTGTACTTCTTAAAGCGGTGTAAATTCCATATTTGTACTTCGTTTGTTTGTTTGGGATTGATGTGTATCAAACTTTTGATTCCTGTGGTGATTATTAACACTATGGTCTGTTACTAACGACTTCTTGAAATGCTTTGTTCCAAACAAATTTATTAATAAGAACACCGTGTTCTCCATTTTCCAAATAACGAAAACGTAACAGATCTAGGTTGAGATTTGCAGACGTAAATACAGGGTGCTCCATCTAAGAGGAATTCTTCTATAGCTGTAACTGTAAAATTGATAAAAAAATGGTTTAAATAAAAGTTGTGTGGAATCATGTGGGCTATGTACAGAAAACATTTTTTACTTTACAGGGTGTTCCATTTCGCATGGGCGCCACATAACTTTGTTACTTTAAACGAAACATCCCGTACATTATTGCGTTTTTTAATTCTTTGGTTAATATTAAGTTGAGCTTATTAAATGCACATGGTATTTAACTCTAACGGATTAGACGCTATCTAGCTTCATCTAGAGAGCTGAAATCATGATTTTTTTTCAAAAACATCTGAATATCTCGAAAACGGTAAATTTTAAACACCATACCATGTACATTTAATAAACTCTACCTAATATTAACCAAAAAATTCAAAAACGCAATAATATACAGGGTGTTCCATTTAAAAACAACAAAGTTATGTGGCGCCCACCCGGAATGGAACACTCTGTAAAGCTAAAAATATTTTGTTTACATGGCCCACATGATTCCAGGCAACTTTTTTTAAAACCAGTTTTTTATAAATTTCACAGTTGCAGAGTTACAGACGAATCCCTCTTATGTGGACCACCCTGTATATATTTAAAATAAAAACGGCTTGGATTTGTTTAAGAAATTTTAAAACATCAAATTATATTCGTAATTAGCTCCCAGAAGTCGTTAAATGCGAAAAAGAAGCCACGAAAACAGTCGCACTAGCAAATGTTTGTCAAATACGTCAAAATCTAGGAAAAAATTCTGAAAATCCTGCACAAGAATCACCGAATAATGTTGATAACATTGAAGTGTATGTAATTATGCGACATTGAAACCAGTTTTTAATAGATGCGTTATCATAAACTATTACCGTAAACTTTATTGACGAACCACGTCAATCACTCTCCACGTGACGTCACGCTCCAAGCGAACCGACGTTAACCGGGAATATCGCACCTTCTAGCCTTTGTATCATGATCAAAACAATCACTTGCCACCAAGAGCCAATTCCTCGAGTCGAAAATTGTTAATTGTCACCGATTTCTCGCGTTCATCCAATTTTCTTTCTTCCAGACATGCTATTCGGGGCCAATAACTTACGGCCCCCCTCGCGTGGAGACCAAGCCGAACCTGCTCGACTCCTTCATCCCTGCGGCCATGCAAGTCATCTCGCACGTCACGGAGCTGATGAAGTACGACCTGAAACCCACCACGAACCCCCCCCTGGGGCCCACCACCTCCACCATGAGGCCGACGCCGCCCCACAGACCGGGCCTGTACGCCCCCGAGAAACCCCCGGGGCCGGCGGCCTACTACGCCCAGAAAGGTAAGAGTCGTTGTGTTTTTGCGTTAAAAGTTACACGTATTTCGTTTGTTTTTTAGGGTTGAGCTACCGGGAGTACATTGAGCGTTTGCGGCAGCCCAGTGGGATAAACTATTTCGACAGGTACAGGTACCCCCTCACGGAAGGAGACTTCCTCGCTCTGTCCGAAAATTCTAGGGAATCTTCGGGAAGGAGTTACTCTGTTGCGGATGGGGAAGAGGGGCCGCCGGCCAGTGCCGAGTCTGTGGATTTGGAGTACTATTTCGGGAAGAATTTCGTCGACGTTTTGAATTTGGCCACCAAGGTTGAACCCGACGCTGTGCCCAATAGCGTCGACGAGCAAGTGCAGGACTTTTCCAGAGAATTCGACGATTCGAATTTCAGGTAACCTCATTGGTTTAGGGAAATAAAGATTATTTTGGTGTGCGAGCTAATATTTTGGTACATCGTAAATATACAGAAGGTTCCACTTAAGAGGGATTGTTCTGTAACGCAGCAATTGTAAAATTTATAAAAAAAAATGGTTTTGATAAAAATTGGCCATGTAAAGAAAATATGTTTAGCTTTACAGGGTGTTCCATTTCGTGTGAGCGCCACATAACTTTGTTATTTTAAATGGAACACCCTGTATATTGTTGCATTTTTGAATTCCTTGGTTAATTTTAGGTAGAGTTTATTAAATGTACATGGTGTTTATAACTTACTGTTTTCGAGATAATCAGTTGTTTTTGAAAAAAATCATGATTTCAGCTATCTAAATGAGGCTAGATAGCGTCTAAACTAGTCCAAGCATTCTGTCACGAATTAATGTTAAATTTGCAGAAATTATTAACTGGATTAAAAAAATATGACCGTATAGAAAATTAAATTTTAAATCGAGTTTCTTGTTCTTTAAACTCGATCCAAAATGTAGAACATGGTTAAAAAAATCGCAAAGTTGCAACAATCGGTTTTTCTAAAATAACAAAAAAAATATAGCACAGATCGAAAAATTTTAAAGGAGAAAGTTGTAGGTTTTAAAAAGATCTATGATTTATTGTAAGTATCGATTGCTTTGTTACTTTTTGAGATATATCGAAAAAACCGTTAAAAATCTTGTCTTTTCTCTTCTTCTATAACTCGTTTACATTTACGTTCCCATATCTGCTATTTACCACAAGCATAGCACGCGGCAAGCCAAAAAAGGACATTTTTGAAAAATTTAAAAATATTATTTTTCGAGATTATTTTGAAAAAAAGGCGCTCTCGAATATTGGCTAGATCTTCTCAGCGGATAGCCCTACAATGACAATTTTTGGCTTATTTTCTTCGTAAAGAGTTATATTACCATGCTGTTAAAAAATGCTGACGATTTTATTAATTTTAAGGATCAAAAAATGACTTTGAANAAAAAACAAATGACAGTAGACATTTTTTTGTACAACTCTTCAAAAAGGGTATGTTCAATGAAACAACCTCTCTCAAAATTGCAACTACATACAAGAATTACTTGTGTCAATTTTAGATCATTAACTGTGCAAGAAAAAGTGTAAACTGTAAATTGTCTTTTTTCGATTTTAATAAAAAATAAATGAATAACTAAAACTTAAAATAACAGAAACACATGAATTGTTGTATTTTTAAATTTTATATAAGTACATACAGGGTGTGTGTGTACAAGTGCGAAATATTTTAGGGGGTGATTGCCGAAGTTATTTTACGAAAAAAAGTTCATATAAACGTAGGTCGAAATATTATGCTTCGTTTCTAAGATACCTACAGAGTGTTTAAATTTTAATATTTTATTTATTTTTTTAAATATTTCAGAGTTTTAAAGACAATCAGACCGAGTAATGAGTATGTATCCCATTTTATCATAATAACAGTTATGTTATTTCAGGGTTGTTAACGTTACCTGTTAAAATATAACGTGCAGGTTATTGAGGAATTAAGACCATTTTTAGCAAATACTCGTATTGCAATTTTGTTGTTTTTTGAAGATGCTTTTGTGTCGACATTTTTAATAATAATTATGCAAAATTATTATAAATAAGAGTCAGTATTAGACAAAAACACATATAACTGACAGATGTCTTTTAGGTTATGAAATATNTTTAAATTCGTGAAAAAATGTCAGCAGTTTCTTTCTTTAAAAGTCATTTTCATAAAATAAAAATTGAAATAGTTATTTGAAAAAAACATACCCAAAAAAAGTGCAACTTTTTCAAAGTCATTTTTTGATTCTTAAAATTAATAAAGTCGTCAACATTTTTTAACAGCATGATAATATAACTCTTTACGAAGAAAATAAACCAATAATCGTCACTGTAGGGCTATCCGCTGAGAAGATCTAGCAAATTTTCGAGAGCGCCTTTTTTTCAAAAAATCAATGTATCTCGAAAAATAATAAATATTTTTAAATTTTTCAAAAATGTACTTTTTTGGCTTGCTGCGGGCTATGCTTGCAGTAAATAGCAAGTATGGGAACATAAATATAAACGAGTTATAGAAGAAGAGAAAAGAGAAGATTTTTAACGGTTTTTTTCGATATATCTCGAAAAGTAAGAAAGCAATCGATACTTACAAAAAATCAGTCGATAGATCTTTTTAAAACCTACAAGTTTCTCATTTAAAATTTTTCGATCGGTGCTATATTTTGTCAGTCATTTTAAAAAAACCGTTTTTTGCAACTTTGCGATTTTTTTTTAACCGTGTTCGCCATTTTGGATCGCGTTTAAAGAACAAGAAACTCGATTTAAAATTTAATTTTCTATACGGTCATATTTTTTTTGTCCAGGTAATAATTCCTGTAAGCATTTCTCTATAATGCTTGGACTAATAGGTCTGGAACGGCCTCGTTTTAGAGGTACAGGGTGTTGAAGTTGTTAAAAAATATATATTTTTTGTTTATATCTCAGGAATCCATTAACCGATCTCAATAAAATTTGGTACAAATAATGTACGATAGTAGGCCTCGCATTCCTTAAAATAACAGCTCTAAAGGATTAACCGGTGGTGTACAACTGGACAGGGGTCACCCTCTTTTTATAAAAAAACCTACGCCACTGTGTTTTTTTACAAGTTATTGTAACAAATTTATATTCTAAAGTTATTCATACAAATATAATCCCCTTGTGGCAGACACTTCAAATCATAATATTACAAAAATATTTATGTTTCTGCTTAAAAGTAATAGACCAAGCAAATTAAATTTTTACTCGAAAAAAGTCCTACCCGCTAGATTATTGTAAAATTGTCTAAAGGAACATAATACAAGACATCTCTCGTCTCGTGAGTCAAAAACTTTTATTAGCTAACTTTTCTATTTAAACAAATAAGTGAGAAAAACAGTTTTTTCACTTTGCAGGGAAAACCATCAATTTTAGCGAAAAGTGACACACAGACAGCTTATAGGGAGTAAAATTATCTACAAAATGAGACTGGTTAA